TGGTCAAAGCCTCTGATAACTTTTAAAAAGTATTTTTCTCAAACATGAGCTAGGTTGCACATCTACGATTGCCGATGCACCTGACCAGAGAATGGGTGCATTTCCCTGCTGAAGTACTCCTGCCAGAAGTTGTGATGCTCCTGTTCCAGTGCTCCCTGACTGATCCAGTGCTTCCTGAAATTTATCGGACTCCTAATAGCTGCTCCTCTGGGACTCATTGCTGCAACCACTACTGATGCTGTTACAGAAACACCTATTCAGTTTTGATCCAGACACTTCATTTCTTCAGAATGGGACAAATGACTCTCATCATTGGTGACTCTCATCAACCCTGGACAGTGCAGGACAATTGGACGCTTTACTACAAGCACTGCTCTGGGTCCAGGGCTGGACTGAAATCTTAGTACAACTAATGAGACTGTTTTGTGTTTGGAATTGTTCCCCTGTTTCAAATTTTGTGTTTTTGTAAAAAGAAAAAGGTGTAGATGTAGGATAACACCGTTTTGTCCTTCCTGCATAACCTCAGTTAGTTTAGGTTTATTGGGTTTCTCCCATCACAGTGTTCCCATTCCTCTGTGTTTATTTGTGCTTTATTTCTTTCTTTGTGCTCTGTTGACTTGTAAATATTATTTTTCTTTTCTCCCTATGTCCTTTGCATAGTTTATTCAGAGCAATGTCCTTTTCGTATGGTCACAAGAAGACAGTATTATGCTAACAAAAAAAAATCTCAAGGCTGAACTAGGCTGCCAAAACAAAGAAAGACTAAAATGACTGTCTGTACTTTCAAGGCACATACTCTGGCATCGGATTCATCCATCGAGGACCTGATGGTACAAGCGTGAAAGATCAAGTACAACATCATTGGTCTGACGGAGATGAGAAGGCATCAATCACATCATGCCGTTTTCGACACTGGAGAGGAATTGTTCCTTGGAACATGTGACAAAAGAGGCGTCGGTGGTGTCGGTGTCCTTGTCAACACGAACTTGGCCATGAGCATTGATTCATTTGAATGCCTAATAACCTGAATCAGATGATTACACTTGTGGCTCACTGCCGGCAGTTTCTATCTTTGTTGTCTACACACTAACATCCAATTATGATGATGGAGAAATTGAGAAAGAAAGCAAAAGAAGAAAAAAGAAAGGAAAAAAAGAAAGAAAGGAAGTAATACTCGTCTATAGTTTTTACTAGAACAGTAGAAATCTTAACTGATGTTTCCTTAAGCTGCACCTATGGAGGACTTTCTCCTTTTGACACTTGCCCACCATTATGTGGTATTTTGTAATGACAGAATCTGAATTTTCCCTTGGAGAATAACTCCTTCCCCATCCTTCATCCTCAGACCTAGGCATATAGTTGTGTATGTGCTCCAGAATTTGTTAAGATACAATCCTAGGATCTTCTTGGTGTGTTTTGAAATAATGACTATTTCCCATTAGAGTTGTAAAGATGATACAAATTAAACATTAGGGAAAGGTGCGAAGAAATCACTTTAGGAGAATTCTTTCTAAAACAAACAGAGATGGGCCGGAGCAATAGTATAGAGGGTAGAGCGTTTGCCCTGCACACTGCCAGCCCGGGATCCCATATGGTCCCCTGAGCACCGCCAGGAGTGATTCCTGAGTGCAAAGTGAGGAGTAACCCCTGAGAATTGCTGGGTATGACCCAAAAAGCCAAAGTAAATAAATAAATAACAAAAAAATAAATAAAACCAACAGAGAGAATAGAAACCAAGTCTGAGTTGATCTTCTTTATACCCTGAATCTAATCAATTCTGAATATTTTTTTTAAAACTATAGATTTTTAAGATTTTTTTGTTTATTTATTTGGTCTTTGGGACACACATGGTGGTTCTCAGGGCTCATTTCTGGCTCTGTGCTCAGAAATTACTAGTGGCACCTGGTGGTACTTGGGGAACCATATAGAATGACAAGGATCAAACCAGGTTTGTCACATGCAAGGCAAGAGCTCTGAGCTCTGCTCACTGTACTAGCTCTCCAGTTCCCCTCCCCCTCAAATTTTAAGTTATTAAGCAATGTACATTCCTTTTATTAAAATATTTTGAGTTTGGTTTTTGGAAACATTTAAGTAAAAGAAAAGACAAAGCATTACCACACATTAAAGAATTCATAAAACATCCACAAATCTTTCCCCTGATTCTCTGTGTCTCTTAATAGTTTTATTCATAACAGCAGCTGTTCAGAATCCCAGTCTCACTCTCTCCAATCTCCCAAACATGTTCCTCCCTAATCCCTCTTTACTATACATCTTTGTTTCTTTTGCCCCTTTCTTCAACATTTTTATAGCTTCCTTCCCCATTTTTCCTACGAAAGCATGAAATGTAGCTCAGTTTTGTGACTAGTCTAGAATTCAGAATTCCCTTTTGCTTCTGTATCCCCACTCTTACCTAGATCAGCACAATTAATTCTCAATCTGTTTTTATGAAAAGCAAAGGATTCCCCTGTTAGGAAGGATGACAGGTTGAAAATACATGTTAAATTTCTCTTCTGCTCTCATTTGTATTCAGTACAAATAATGTGTTTGCTTGGACATTAATTCCATTTGCAAACTACTACTCCTGGGGTTCCATTTGTGTAAGTTTTGCCAAGATAGTGTCTCAGGGGTTTTGTTTGTACATTTCTTTTGTAGAGGTATAAAATTAGAAAAAGAAATTAATTAAATCACTTGGGATTTTACAAGACAGAGCAAAGGTCAAGTCCTGAATTCAGACCAAGTTGAGGAGTGCTAGGGGCAATTTAATGACCACACTCACTCACTCAATTGCCTTTCATTTCTATCTTCCCCTTTGGGAAAACTGTTTGGATTTTCTACAAAACGTCCTCTCAGACATTGCCTCACTTAGCAGCTCCTGCAGAGGTACATTTTTTCAGACACTGTGCCCAGGATTCTTTAAAGTGTTCTAAGAACATTGACTCATTCAAAAGCAGCTCTGTCTTGGTTGCTCGAGTGCTTGCTCCACAAAGATCTAGATTGTCACTTCCCCTCAAAAGGTACGCTGTGTGTGTGTGTGTGTGTGTGTGTGTGTGTGTGTTTGGGGGGGGAGCGGGGAGGAGAGATAGTACATCGGGTAAGGCATTTGTCTTGTACACAGCTGACCAGGGTTTGATCTCCGGCATTCAATGGTCTCCCAAACACAGCCAGGAGTAATTTCTGAGTGCAGAGTCAGGAGTAACCCCTGAGCTTTGCTAAGTGTGACCCCAAAAGTCAAAATAATAATAATAATAATAATAATAATAATAATAATAATAATAAGAAGAAGAAGAAGAAGAAGAAGATACACTGAGGTCGAGTGATAATACAGCAGGCAGAGCATTTACCTTGCGTGCAGCAGATGGCGGTTCAATCCTTGGCACTGCATATGGTTCCCAAAACCCTGCCAGGAGTGATCCCTGAGTGCAGCTAGAAGTAGGCCTGGTGTAGCCAAAACTAAAATGACAAAGACACACTAGGCATTCAGATGACCCCCAGCTCTCTGTGGACACAGTGGTCAGGACCTATTCTTGGATCTACTCAAACTGTCTTTGGTGCCGCCCACTGGAAACACCACTTAGCCTATGTGTTAGGAACTGAAGTCCAAGAACTGTCAAGATGAGTCTGAAAGGGGTTGGAACAATAGCACAATGGGTAGGGCATTTGCCTTGCATGCAACCGACCTGGGGAATTCCATATGGTTCCCGCCCCCAACACCACCAGAAGTAATTACTGAGTGCAGAACCAGGAGTAATCCTTGCGGATGGCCAGGTGTGACCCGGGCGTGGGGGGTGGGGAGATGACTCTGGAAGATGGTTCATCATTTAAAAGGCCCAGGTTCTAGAGAGCTAGCTCAATGGGCTGGAGGAGCTCTGCACACAGAAGTTCCCGGATATCATCTGATCCCCCAGCACTGGCCACTGGGTGTGACCAGAAAACCAACCCCCCACTCCCACCCCTAGGTCCCATCTTTCTTTTATGCATACCCACTCTTCCCAGTGCATCTTTCCAACCATGAGAAAGTAAAATCTACTACAGTGCCCTTTAATTGTTAGGGAAAATATGGCACAACCAGGGAAGCGTCAAGGAGAATTTACTTTAATGAAAGAACTATCTTGAAAGGTGTGGGGAAGAGAAAAAGAACACTCTCTAAGGGCGGGGCAGATAGTACAGCAGGGAGCAGCCAATGGGGTTGGATCCCAGGCATCCCGTGTGATCTCCAAACGTGGTCAGGAGCGATTCCTGAGCACAGCCAGGAGTTGCCCCTGAGGACTGGCAAGTGTGGCTCAAAAACCGACAGAAGAACAAAGAAAGCTCCTGAAGTCATTCCCAGCCCCAATCCACACGCAGGGCAACTCTCTGTGGTCAGAAAGGGGGTGGGGGTGGGGGACAGCGGCAGGGAGGACCTCCTCCAGGGACAGGAAAGCGGTTTTCCCGGAAAGCGTTCAGGGGGCTTCACAGGTGTGGGAACAGTCCTGTGAAATAGCCTGCCCTCTGATCTCTGCAGAGACACCCATGGTCCTAAGGCAGGGTCAGCAGTGGGTCCCAGAGTGGAAGAGGGTGGATCTGGCCAGCTCAGAAGCTATGTCATGGTGGCCCTTGGCTGCAGGCCTGTTCTAGGCCTGCACCTTTTCGCCCTCTCAGCCTGGTCTGGGCATTTTCGCCCAGTCTAGGGTGACGTCCGTCCGGACAGTTCTCGCCACCCATCGAGTCCAACTGCCTTGGTGACCAGCTGTTTCCAAGAGACTCTCGTCATTCCACCGGGGCCAGGGTACACAGAGGCCAGGCTCCGCTCTGCAGCGTTAAGACCCTTGCTCAGAAAACGTCTCGCTAGCAATGCTAGGCGGACGCTGTTGACCTTCGCGGGCCACTCTTTACCGACAGATGCTGTACTCAATGTGCAGTCTTAAGCATCCACTGGCGGCCTTGAAATACAAACAGACGCGAGGAAAGGGCAGAGGCTGCCTCCCTGCCCCCTTGCAGAGACCACGTCAGCCGCTGCCAGGCGACGGCTGGGAACCTGCTCTGGGGCCCGTAGCTGGGCCCGCCCACCGCGCGGGGAGGGCGAGGCCCGAGTCCGGGAGCAGATCCCCGGCGCCCCCCGCGGTCTCCCACTTGGGCCGCGGTCGGGGGGGCTGGGCTGGGGGCGCGAAGAGCGCAGGCGCAGTGTCGGCCCGCGGCGCCCCGCCTGCGGCCTCTGCGGCCCGGGCTGCGCTCTCCCCCTGGACGCTGTCGGGGCGCCCAGCAGCCGGCCGGAGCCCCGCGCCTTCCTCGCCGCCGCAAGCAGGTAACCGCCGGGCCCGGGAGCCGCGAACCGTCACAGCGGGCTGGGCCCGGAGCTGCGGAGGGTGGCAGGGCACCCCGAAGGGAGCGGATCGCAGTTTGGGCTTGGGGCGGGCCGGGGAAGGGGTGTGTGTGTGGGGGGGCGCTTCGCCCCCATCTCAAGCCTTCGCGGGGGTCTGTGGGCGGCACCTGCGGGGTCGCGGGCCCCCCAACCCCCAAGTTGCCTAAGCTGCTGGGGAGAACCTCGGGGTTCAGCATCGACTTCGGACCTCCCCGGTTCCGTGGGCCCTTCCCCAGTCTCCACGACTAAGGCGTAGGAGGGGGCAGAGGGCGTCCTGGTTTCCTCTCGCCCGGCCCCCCCCCCCCCCCATTTCAAACCCAAACTTTAAGATCTACCGATGGGGGCGGGGAGGAGAGGGCCATCGCCCGTCGCTGTGGCCCCTGGCCCGGGAGGTGAGTTTCGGTGGCAAATGCACAGGAGGCGAGGACGGGAGGGACACGGCTGCGCCCAGCGAGGCGGCCCGCCCAGCTACTGGACGCGCCACTAGACGCCACGTGCAACGGCTGGACCGAGCCTCCTGCCGGGGCGGGAGGGGGGAGGGCTGAGCATGGGCTCCCCGAGGCTGTGACGCACTGGGGCGCTGGGCGCCGAGGGCTGGGGGCTGCTGCCGGCCCTCCTCCGGGAAGGGCGCTCTTTGGGGTTGCCCGTGTCCGTGGTGCTGAAATACTTCACTCACCCTAGCCGGCCGGGTCAGTCCACTTTGTGCCTTTGGCAACAACAGGCAAAAGTGCGTTTTGCCACTTCTAAGGCAGGTGGGTCTCGGGGAGCAACGTGACATAGATCCCCTCCGCAGGTGGGTTTCCGAAGCAAACGTGGGAGCAAATGTGGCGCGTCTTGGGATATCATAACGGTGACCCGCATGCCCCTGCGTTGAGCATGAACGGGAACTTACACCTATTGCATGTATGACATTCATAAATGTGTATAAATACACAAATGCAACACACATGCAAATATACCCGGGTTTTTAAAACCATCACATGATGCAAGTGACTCCAGCTTTTCCATAATCCATCTGTATTTTTTGACACCTCTAATGTTTCTGAACTTTGAACAGCCACTAATTATCATAATCATCTGTTTCAGAATCACAGAATCTGTGGACTCACGGTTTTATTGTTTTGATGAGCAATTCAGTATACGGATTTTATTTATTTAGGATTATTTTATTTGTTTGCTTTTGGGCCACACCCGATGTGCTCAGGGCTTAATCCCAGGCATCACTCTTGGCGGTTTCCAGGGGACCACACACGGTAAACGCCCTTCCCTCCGTACTACTTGCTGCAGGCCCTAGAAGGAAATTTGATGGTCCAGGTTTGCTTTGTGTTTGATATATTATCTCATTATTTTCTGGCTCCTTTCTTATATCTTATTTTTTACTATATTCTTTCTCAGCATCTACTTGATACACTGTATCAGCACTTAATTATAATGTCATTATACCCACATTTGCACCACAATTAGGCTATTGGTGTGTCTTTTTTGAGGGGAATTGCTTTTGGGTCATACCCAGTGGTGCTCAGAGGTTACTCCCAGCTCAGTATTCAGGGATCACTTCTAGAAGTATGGGGGAATCGAACTATGGTGTTACAGCTTGAACTGGGTTTCCTGCATGCCAAGCATGCACATCAGGGCAAGAGAGATGGTACAGTCGGTGAGGGTCCATACCCGCATCCAACCCAGTTCCATCTCTGGCATCACATATGGTTGCCCAGTCCCTGCCAGGAGTGATCCCTGAGCACAGAGTCCTGAGCATAGCTGGATGTGCTTCAAAACCAAAAATAAAGAAACTAACACCTGTGGGCCAGTTCACTGAACTACCTCTCTGGCCCTAGGCATTTTGTCTTTTATTTATTTTAAATTTATTTTTATGATTTTGGATAGTAGTATTTTGAGGATGTTGCCATAAATTATCAGTGCAAAAGTTTATCAATCTCTAAATGCAGTACTGACGGTTTGTGTTTTGTTTTTTTTTTCTGAGGGGGCACATTCAGCTATGCTCAGGGTTTACTCCTGACTCTCTGCTCAGAGGATACTTCTGGTGGTGCTTGAGATTGAAGGAAGGTCTGCTGCCTGCAAGGCAAAGCCTTAACCCGATACTATCTTTTCAGCTCCAATCTACCATCTTTATGGTTCTATTAAGTTATTTACATTTTGGGTGTCTAGGGAGAGCTCAGAGTGTCTACCTTGCTGTGTTCTCGACCAGGTACCACCCCAAATGTGGAGTGCAGTCTGGGTGGCACTGCTGTTTGTGATTGTCAACACTTTAGTGATGGTTAAAGTATGTGATCTCCAACACACTGTAGGCAAATGTATATAAACACCACAACAAAGTGTGAGACCCTGACAAGCCCCTACAACAATGAAGTGTGGGTGCACTGCAATCAAGTGTGCATGTGCCCCAGCTAAATGTCATTGCAACAAAAGGGAAGGGATTGAAGGGGGGGGCGAACATTACATCTTAAACTCTAGGTTTATTACCCCCACATCCCTTGCAAGTTGCATTCATTTCATTACTAGAGTCTAAGAAGTAAATATACATATATATATATATATATATAATTTTTGTTGTTTTGGTGCTCAGTACTTACTCATGGCTCTGTATTCGGGGCTTACTCCTGATGAACTCAGGAAATCATATGGGGTACTGGGGATTAAACCCAGGTTGACTGTGTGCACTGAAGTTCTTTAGTCCATTTTATTTTTAATTATGCACTTTTAAAAAGTGGTATTCTTTCTTTTTTTTTTGAGGTCTTTTGGTCATATCCAGTGATGCTCAGGGGTTACTCCGGGCTCTGCACTCAGGAATTACTCCTGGTGGTGTTCAGGGGACCATATGGGATGTCGGGGATTGAACCTGGAATAGCTGTGTGCAAGGCAAACACCATACTTGCTCTACTATTGCTCCTGCCTATACAAAGGAGCTATTCTTCAAAAATAGGGTATTTTTGAACATAAAAGAAAATATGACAGTCTAATTTTTAACAAACTAGAAATTCATGTTACTGAGATTTAGCTAGTCGGATGTTTTCAAAATCAAAATCAAACCCAACTGTCTCCTCCTCCCCGCCCCCCCCACCCCCCCGCCACACACACACACACATACAAAGAAAAGTTACTGGCATTAAGGAACTATTTTGTATTCTTTTTCTTTTCTTTTTTGGGAGGCTTCCTGATGGTGGGGACCATCAGAGCAACACCCCAGAGTGCTGGGGATTGAATTCAGGAAGGACCCTGTGCATGGCAGGAATGAGCCCAGGCCTTTGAGCCATTTACCCAGCTCTCTATAATTTTCTTCCTGGGATTTAAAAACATCTTAGAAGAGCCAAATGGAAGCAATTTTATTGCTTTATAGAATTAAAGTTAAAATATAGCAGATTATAAAATGGGAAAACACCAGAGGAGAAAATGAAAACTGTCTAATAAGCCATTCTTCTCAATAAATTTTAGTTTAGAACATTTACTTCCAGATTATTAAGTTTATAAATAAGCATACATTGCATTGGATGTGAAATGTTATCCATTTTAAGATGTAGCATGACTTTAGAAACATAAAAAATATGCACCTTTAAAATTGGTAAATCTAGGGGCTAAAACTGATAGCACAGTGGGTAAGGCATTTGCCTTGCACGTGACCAACCCGGGTTCAATTCCCAGCATCCCATATGGTCCCCTGAGCACCACCATGGGTAATTCCTGAGTGCAGAGCCAGGAGTAGCCCCTGTTCATCACCGGTCTCACCCAAAAAGAAAAAAAATGGTAAATCTAAATGAAATCAAATTATAAATTCCTGCAATTTTTAATAGAATATTTGTATATATTCCCATCTGGTAGACACATCACTGACTGTCAATATCCTGTTTGAGTACACATGGACTATTTATATAATAAAAACAATGCTATGTTAAATATTTAAAAATATACCTCTTTAGACATATATATATATGTTTAAATAGCCATTATAATATATATATATACACTTTTTGCTTTTTTGGATCACACCCGGTGACACACAGGGGTTACTCCTGGCTTCACACTCAGGAATTACTCCTGGTAGTGCTTGGGGGACCATATGGGATGCTGGGAATTGAACCTGGGTTGGCCGCGTGCAAGGCAAACACTCTACCTGCTGTATTATTGCTCCAGCCCTAAACATAATTATTTGAAAAATATGTGTGTATCTCTTTGTAATAGTGCTATTTCTTTTTTTGGTGGGGGACAGTACTAGCAGTGCTCAGGGGGCTCAGAGGACAATATGGGATGATGGGATTGAACCCAGTTAGGCCATGTGCAAAGCAAACTCCCTACCCACTGTACTACTGCTCTGGTCCTTGTAATGGTGTTATTTTCTTAGAATAGATTCCTACATGAGATTGATGGATTAGGAAGGATCCACATTTTGCATTCTGGTATCTGTTGTCTGACATAAAAAACTCTTGAACCAGTTTGTTATGCAACCAACAGTGTGTGTCAATGCTTTGGATTCCTCACTCACTAGGTAGCTAGAACTAGTCACCTGTTTCCATTCCTTTTCCAAAGAGATGGCTCACCTTTTTTCTGAGCCTTTAAAAAAAGTCATTCATTATTTTATGTCTATTGGTTATTTCTTCTTTTATGCATTATTGCTCATAGCCTTTGTCTAATTATTTTGAGTTTTTAAGAGCTCATTTTGGATAAAATATTGATCCTTTATTATGGTGATTGTTTTAGTTTGTCATTTTATTTTTGTGGGGGTGGCCATCTAGTAGTAGTCAGGGCTTACTCTGGGCTCTGTGCTCAGGGATCACTCCTGATAGTGACCAGGGTGGTCCTGAGATTTAACCCTGGTTGGCAGCCTTGCCTGTTGTACTGTGTCTCTGGCTCTCCATTAAATTTAAAAAAAAAATTTATAAATAGTTTTCAGTTTTCAGGAAGTCAAATGTGCCCATTTTTCCTTTGTGATA